ATATGGTAGTAGCATGACCTGTTGACCTACCTTGTGTGTTGGGGTAGTAGCATTGTGAATATGTTGACCTACCTTGTGTGTTGGGGCAAGTAGTGTTGAGGTTGACCTACCTTGTGTTGGGGTAGTAGTGTTGAATATGTTGACCTACCTTGTGTGTGTTGAGGTAGTAGCATTGGGAATATGTTGACCTACCTTGTGTGTTGAGGTAGTAGTAGCATGTTGGTGTGTTGAATATGTTGACCTACCTTGTGTGTTGAGGTAGTAGTGTTGGGTATATGTTGACCTACCTTGTGTGTTGAGGTAGTAGCATTGGGTATATGTTGACCTACCTTGTGTGTTGGGGTAGTAGTGTTGGGTATATGTTGACCTACCTTGTGTGTTGAGGTAGTAGTGTTGGGTATATGTTGACCTACCTTGTGTGTTGAGGTAGTAGCGTTGGGTATATGTTGACCTACCTTGTGTGTTGAGGTAGTAGTGTTGGGTATATGTTGACCTACCTTGTGTGTTGGGGTAGTAGCATTGGGTATATGTTGACCTACCTTGTGTGTTGGGGTAGTAGTGTTGGGTATATGTTGACCTACCTTGTGTGTTGAGGTAGTAGCATTGTGAATATGTTGACCTACCTTGTGTGTTGGGGTAGTAGTGTTGGGTATATGTTGACCTTCCTTGTGTGTTGGGGTAGTAGTGTTGGGTATATGTTGACCTACCTTGTGTGTTGAGGTAGTAGTGTTGGGTATATGTTGACCTACCTTGTGTGTTGAGGTAGTAGCATTGTGAATATCCTGACCTACCTTGTATGTTGGGGTAGTAGCATTGTGAATATGTTGACCTACCTTGTGTGTTGAGGTAGTAGCATTGTGAATATGTTGACCTACCTTGTGTGTTGGGGTAGTAGTGTTGGGTATATGTTGACCTACCTTGTGTGTTGGGGTAGTAGCATTGTGAATATGTTGACCTACCTTGTGTGTTGAGGTAGTAGCATTGTGAATATGTTGACCTACCTTGTGTGTTGGGGTAGTAGCATTGTGAATATGTTGACCTACCTTGTGTGTTGAGGTAGTAGCATTGTGAATATGTTGACCTACCTTGTGTGTTGGGGTAGTAGTGTTGGGTATATGTTGACCTACCTTGTGTGTTGGGGTAGTAGTGTTGGGTATATGTTGACCTACCTTGTGTGTTGAGGTAGTAGCATTGTGAATATGTTGACCTACCTTGTGTGTTGGGGTAGTAGTGTTGGGTATATGTTGACCTACCTTGTGTGTTGAGGTAGTAGTGTTGGGTATATGTTGACCTACCTTGTGTGTTGGGGTAGTAGTGTTGGGTATATGTTGACCTACCTTGTGTGTTGGGGTAGTAGTGTTAGGTATATGTTGACCTACCTTGTGTGTTGAGGTAGTAGTGTTGGGTATATGTTGACCTACCTTGTGTGTTGAGGTAGTAGTGTTGGGTATATGTTGACCTACCTTGTGTGTTGAGGTAGTAGTGTTGGGTATATGTTGACCTACCTTGTGTGTTGAGGTAGTAGCATTGTTGACCTACCTTGTGTGTTGGGGTATATGTTGACCCATGTTGACCTACCTTGTGTGTTGGGGTAGTAGTTGACCCACCTTGTGGTTGGGGTATTGGGTATGTTGACCTACCTTGTGTGTATATGTAGTGACCTGACCTACCTTGTGTGTTGGGGTAGTAGTGTTGGGTATATGTTGACCTACCTTGTGTGTTGGGTAGTAGTGTGTTGGGTATATGTTGACCTACCTTGTGTGTTGGGTAGTAGCATTGTGAATATATCTGACCTACCTTGTGTGTTGGGGTAGTAGCATTGTGAATATGTTGACCTACCTTGTGTGTTGAGGTAGTAGCATTGTGAATATGTTGACCTACCTTGTGTGTTGGGTAGTAGTGTTGGGTATATGTTGACCTACCTTGTGTGTTGGGGTAGTAGCATTGTGAATATGTTGACCTACCTTGTGTGTTGAGGTAGTAGCATTGTGAATATGTTGACCTACCTTGTGTGTTGGGTAGTAGCATTGTGAATATGTTGACCTACCTTGTGTGTTGAGGTAGTAGCATTGTGAATATGTTGACCTACCTTGTGTGTTGGGGTAGTAGTGTTGGGTATATGTTGACCTACCTTGTGTGTTGGGGTAGTAGTGTTGGGTATATGTTGACCTACCTTGTGTGTTGAGGTAGTAGCATTGTGAATATGTTGACCTACCTTGTGTGTTGGGGTAGTAGTGTTGGGTATATGTTGACCTACCTTGTGTGTTGAGGTAGTAGTGTTGGGTATATGTTGACCTACCTTGTGTGTTGGGGTAGTAGTGTTGGGTATATGTTGACCTACCTTGTGTGTTGGGGTAGTAGTGTTAGGTATATGTTGACCTACCTTGTGTGTTGAGGTAGTAGTGTTGGGAATATGTTGACCTACCTTGTGTGTTGAGGTAGTAGTGTTGGGTATATGTTGACCTACCTTGTGTGTTGAGGTAGTAGTGTTGGGTATATGTTGACCTACCTTGTGTGTTGAGGTAGTAGCATTGGGAATATGTTGACCTACCTTGTGTGTTGGGGTAGTAGTGTTGGGTATATGTTGACCTTGACCTTGTGTGTTGGGGTAGTAGTGTTGGGTATATGTTGACCTACCTTGTGTGTTGGGGTAGTAGCACCTACCCTGTGTGAATATGTTGATGTTGACCTTGTGTGTTGAGGTAGTAGTGTTGTGAATATGTTGACCTACCTTGTGTGTTGGGGTAGTAGTGTTGGGTATATGTTGACCTACCTTGTGTGTTGGGGTAGTAGTGTTGGGTATATGTTGACCTACCTTGTGTGTTGAGGTAGTAGCATTGTGAATATGTTGACCTACCTTGTGTGTTGGGGTAGTAGTGTTGGGTATATGTTGACCTACCTTGTGTGTTGAGGTAGTAGTGTTGGGTATATGTTGACCTACCTTGTGTGTTGAGGTAGTAGCATTGGGTATATGTTGACCTACCTTGTGTTGGGGAGGTAGTAGTGTTGGGTATATGTTGACCTACCCTGTGTGTTGAGGTAGGTAGCATTGTGAATATGTTGACCTACCTTGTGTGTTGGGGTAGTAGTGTTGGGTATATGTTGACCTACCTTGTGTGTTGGGTAGTAGTAGGGTACCTTGTGTGTTGGGGGTAGTAGTGTTGGGGTAGTAGTGTTGGGTATATGTTGACCTACCTTGTGTGTTGAGGTAGTAGCATTGTGAATATCCTGACCTACCTTGTGTGTTGGGGTAGTAGCATTGTGAATATGTTGATCTACCTTGTGTGTTGAGGTAGTAGCATTGTGAATATATTGACCTACCTTGTTTGTTGGGGTAGTAGTGTTGGGTATATGTTGACCTACCTTGTGTGTTGAGGTAGTAGCATTGTGAATATGTTGACCTACCATGTGTGTTGAGGTAGTAGCATTGTGAATATGTTGACCTTCCTTGTGTGTTGGGGTAGTAGCATTGTGAATATGTTGACCTACCTTGTGTGTTGAGGTAGTAGCATTGTGAATATGTTGACCTACCTTGTGTGTTGGGGTAGTAGTGTTGGGTATATGTTGACCTACCTTGTGTGTTGGGGTAGTAGTGTTGGGTATATGTTGACCTACCTTGTGTGTTGAGGTAGTAGCATTGTGAATATGTTGACCTACCTTGTGTGTTGGGGTAGTAGTGTTTGGTATATGTTGACCTACCTTGTATGTTGAGGTAGTAGTGTTGGGTATATGTTGACCTACCTTGTGTGTTGGGGTAGTAGTGTTGGGTATATGTCGACCTACCTTGTGTGTTGGGGTAGTAGTGTTAGGTATATGTTGACCTACCTTGTGTGTTGAGGTAGTAGTGTTGGGCATATGTTGACCTACCTTTTGTGTTGAGGTAGTAGTGTTGGGTATATGTTGACCTACCTTGTGTGTTGAGGTAGTAGTGTTGGGTATATGTTGACCTACCTTGTGTGTTGGGGTAGTAGCATTGGGTATATGTTGACCTACCTTGTGTGTTGGGGTAGTAGTGTTGGGTATATGTTGACCTACCTTGTGTGTTGGGGTAGTAGTGTTGGGTATATGTTGACCTACCTTGTGTGTAGGGGTAGTAGTGTTGGGTATATGTTGACCTACCTTGTGTGTTGGGGTAGTAGTGTTGTGTATATGTTGACCTACCTTGTGTGTGAGGTAGTAGTGTTGAGTATATGCTGACCTACCTTGTGTGTTGAGGTAGTAGCATTGTGAATATCCTGACCTACATTGTATGTTGGGGTAGTAGCATTGTGAATATGTTGACCTACCTTGAGTGTTGAGGTAGTAGCATTGTGAATATGTTGACCTACCTTGTGTGTTGGGGTAGTAGTGTTGGGTATATGTTGACCTACCATGTGTGTTGGGGTAGTAGCATTGTGAATATGTTGACCTACCTTGTGTGTTGAGGTAGTAGCATTGTGAATATGTTGACCTACCTTGTGTGTTGGGGTAGTAGCATTGTGAATATGTTGACCTACCTTGTGTGTTGAGGTAGTAGCATTGTGAATATGTTGACCTACCTTGTGTGTTGGGGTAGTAGCATTGTGAATATGTTGACCTACCTTGTGTGTTGGGGTAGTAGTGTTGGGTATATGTTGACCTACCTTGTGTGTTGGGGTAGTAGTGTTGGGTATATGTTGACCTACCTTGTGTGTTGAGGTAGTAGCATTGTGAATATGTTGACCTACCTTGTGTGTTGGGGTAGTAGTGTTGGGTATATGTTGACCTACCTTGTGTGTTGAGGTAGTAGTGTTAGATATATGTTGACCTACCTTGTGTGTTGGGGTAGTAGTGTTGGGTATATGTCGACCTACCTTGTGTGTTGGGGTAGTCGTGTTAGGTATATGTTGACCTACCTTGTGTGTTGAGGTAGTAGTGTTGGGTATATGTTGACCTACCTTGTGTGTTGGGGTAGTAGTGTTGGGTATATGTTGACCTACCTTGTGTTTTGAGGTAGTAGTGTTAGGTATATGCTGACCTACCTTGTGTGTTGAGGTAGTAGTGTTTCCACAGCTGTCGGATCTTCTCCTGACCCCCCACGTCCCACACGGTGAACGTCACACCGTTCACCGGGCTGACGGTTTCCACGTTGAAGCCGATGGTGGGGATGGTGCACACGCTCTCGTTCAGCTTCATCTTGTACAGGATCGTCGTCTTACCTGGGACAACATCGCCACATCAGTCAAAAAGGGAAAACAAAAAGTTCTTTCAATCCTAAACCGATGACGACGAATCAACTTCGCACCAAAAGAATGTTTTTTTTCCAATCTATTTGGAAGGGTGAGGGTGGCAGAGTGGTTCAAGCTTTCGATCTTTGCGATTCACCCTTGGGTTCGAATCCTCACATGGTTCTTAAGCGTGAAACACATTTCTAGTGTCCTCGGTTGTGGTATTGCTGGAGCAGTGGCATGTCGGCGTACAACTATGCTCATTCTAAGCTCGGCCAGTGCCACGGCATAACGTTTAAATTTGAAACCTATACACTGAATCAAGGTTTACTCCTGGTTACCATAACAAACACATACTAGTAGTCGGGTAGCCAAGTGGTTAAAGCGTTCGCTCCTCAATTCAAATACCCGGGTCCGATTCCCCACATGGCTACAGTGTGTGAAGCCATTTCTGGTGTCCCCCGCCGTGATGTTGCGGAAACATTGCTAAAAGCGGCGTAAAACCATACTCACTCACATACTAGTAGTTCGAGACAAGCGGAGTGATATATGTGACAAGATTATCGTCTTCCCGTCGTTATATGCCATTGTCTATTGTGCACCTTGTGTAAGTATTTATATACCACACTCACCTTTCACATCATTGTTTATTCGTGAGAACCTGAAGCTGATTTTACAAGGAGACAATCTTTATATAGGCCCATTAGCCTAAAAACGGTGGAAATTCGCATGGGCTTAAAAGACGAAATCCATCTTATTAAATATTTCATACTTCTTCCTTTTGAATTTAATTTGAAATTATTTTGTCTCACCGGAACGAATCTATATGTATTGTCGTTTATCCATACTGCTCCGAACCACAAAGGTGGCTACCATTTTCCTCGGATTTTTTCCTCTTTACTGCATCTTCTTCGGCGGCGTTGGAAGAATGGGGCATTTTGTATTGTTACCATTTGAAATAATCATAATAAATTTTGATATTTTTAGACGGTACAAATTGTTAAAAAATTGACCATGCCGTAAATCTCCGGAAATATGTTTTCATGTTATGAACTGGCAAACTCAGTTTTGACAAAACAATTGTTCATAAAGCTTTAAACGAGTTTTGAAAGATTACAATTTGGAAACTGAATAAGTGCATATTAAACGTTCCTACTGCAAGTCCAGTATGCGATGTATCGTTTTTAGAGAGCCACGATCATCGGTACCCATACAGATCTACATACCGTGGACAATATTGGGGGTTACGAATACAGTGTTTGATAACCGTCGTATAAACAAAATATATCAACATTTCTAATGGGTGCAGTAGAAGACGGACGTGATTTATATGTTCAATACTTTGATTGTTGATTGTTTTGATTATTATGTTTCGAATATCTGCTATTCTATTTGATCAGTGTTGCATTTCCGTCTCACCCATGAAGATCCGGGTTAGAACTGGTCTTCAGTAACACTTGCAGGTCGTGAGACGCGACTAACGGCATTGGGCGGTCAGGCCCGCTGACTTGGTTGACACATAACATCGTATAACACTTGCGTAGACCGATGCTCATGTTCTCTAGATTGTCTGGATCCAGAATTATCGATTATGTACAGACCGACGCCATATAGGTAAAATAGTGCTGAGTGCGGCGTTAAACAACAAACAAAACAAACACTACGGTCTCGATATTGACCTGTATCTTTTTGAGATATTGACCTGTATCTTTTTTGGAGACGAAATGTTTAACAATACAATCCTACTGGGAGTCACTTACAACGTGATAAATTGTTACTTAATGCGTGTTTACACTTGTATGCCACTTAGTATGGATAATGATATTCGCAATGAAAATTTATTAACATGTTTCTACTCTATAGCGCTAGTATCTCATAGAGCCCCTTGTGTTATTCAACTTGCTAAAGTACCCATCTGTAGCGTCGTTGTGTGATTTGCATTGAACCAAGTTCATTGAGGGGCACTCGACTTTGTCCAACATAGGAAAATATGTTCCAAAACCCAGCAGTGTATCACAAATCATGCGACAGATCGGGCCACCATTACGGGTATTTAATATTGCGATTTCTGTGTTGGGTCTTTATGCAGATAAACGCTATACAGCTATACACGCACGGTGTAATACCACACACTGCAGGGGTGGAAATAACTTTAAAGTTGCTAGTGTACTCCGGTACAGTGGCACATGCAAAATCACTTGCCCTGATACTTTTTCCACTATACCGGCCGTTTTCTTGTTGATTTTTTAAATAAACAACATAATTAACATTGGAATATCAACTGGACACCGGTACAGTGTGATATACAAATTTGCTTGCCCAACAGAAAAAAACACTGGACTCGGGCGTAGGGCAATAGGTTATTTTCATCCCCGTGACACAGCAACTGACACCGACTGTTAAACAGGAGTGAGTGAGTTTAGTTTTACGCCGCTTGTATTCCGGAAATATCACAGCGGGGACATCAGAAATGTGCTTCACACATTGTACCCATGTGAGGAATCGAACTTGGGTCTTCGGCGTAACGACTGAACACCTTATCCACTAGCCTACCCTGCCGCCATTATTTAACAGGATAGTTCTGTCTATTGCAGGGCAAAAAGCTTCAACCGACCTTAATAGTTGTTGTTTAACGCTGCACTCAGCAATATTCCAACTATATGGCAGCGGTCTGTAAATAATCGAGTCTGGACCAGGCAATCGAGTGATCAACAGCATGAGTATCGATCTACACAACTGGGATACGATGACACGTGTTTGAGTTTGAAAGTTATAATCTCGACCATTGATAAGTGGCGGTTGCTGTATCCAGCTTTTCAGTGGGCGAGTGGGTGGTTGTGTGAATAGCGTTTTACGCAGCATAGTAAACCGAATATTTTTGGTACTAGTCCTCTTCTCTTCGACCGGCCTGATAAACACATGGGTGGCACAGACGACTGCGATAATGATGTTGTTTGAAAGTAAAAAACACATGTTTCCATCCTTTCAGATAATTTAAGTATTTTAATACCTATACTAGATACAGCGCTATTTTTAAAAAATGTGAACATACTCCAGCTGTGTGTCTAATGTTGGAATACATTATCAATTTCCATGTTCATGTCAATTTTTTTAATTTGGGATCTTTTCATTTAGAAACATTTTACTACTCGGACCTACTCGTCCATGTAGATGTTTGAGTGAATAATGTTTTATACCACATCATCGCTATGTCTGATGGTGACTTACGAACAGATGCAACATCAACGAGTCCTGGAGATTGACAGCGGGGATGGGGATATCAATTTACAACACTCACACTAAACACAAATTGTGATAAAATAGGGGCCGGGTAGGCCAGTGGTTCAAGCGTTCCTTCGTCACGACAAAGACCCGGGTTCTATTCCCAACAAATTATAATGCGTGAGCCCAACTTCTGATGTTCCCCGCTGCGATATTGTTGAAATAATGTGACAAGCAGCGCAAACCCGTAACTAACTCACTGATATAATATTCATTCGTTCGCTATATTTTATGGCTCTTCATATACATCTCATAAAGACTTATCTCCCTTTGACCGCTCAGTTGGCACGTCAATCGAACGTAGAGCTGTCGGTTTGTACATCACAACATGTCACAAGTCGACAAGGCAATTCATGTGTATGTGTGCAGTGGTAGTTTTACTGTATCTAATTGGTGATCGGTTGGCTGCTCTAAACTGACTTCATGCTCCAACTAGTTTGGCTGCTTTTGTACCGATCAAACACGACCCCGTATCCAACACTGAGTTAACATCACAAGCATAAATGTGATCAGAATAACGTATACAGAGTTGCTAAAATGTGAGCAAAGACGATTGCCCTGCTATGCATATCACACAACATGTCGAGAAGAGAGTGAGAACCGGTGATAAACACGCCATAAGACCTACAACCCATACAGTAAATTTTGTAAAACAATCGTTCATCAAAGTCAGTTAAAGAAATGTGATTCAAAAGCATTACAACTCAACATACCAATATTCTACATGATACTGCACTACACAGTGTTATTGAGACAATATATCTGAATATACAGTAGAAGTAATGGCTGCTTGCATTACAAACATGCCACAAGGCCTACAACCCACTGAGTAAATTCTTTAAAGCATTTGTTCATCAAAGTTACTTAGATTCCAAGATTCGTTATCATTACGACAACTCAAAATATCAATATTCTAAATGATTTTGGACCACATAGTGCTATTGAGACAATATATCTGAATATAAAGTAGAAGTACATATATATATTACATTACATTACAGTAGGTGAGAGAGTATGGATTTATATCGCTTTTAGCTTTTAGCAATCTCCAGCAATATCAAGTCGGGGGACACCAGAAATGGATTTCACACTTTGTACCCATGTAAGGAATCAAATCCGGGTCTTCGGCGAGACGAGCGAACGCTTTAACCACTAGGCTACCCCACCGACCCTCATTACATTACAAGCTGTGTCTTTCTACAACAGGTATGGTTCGTCCGCTCACATCAAAAGTCAAATGTTCCTACAGTGCATCACATCATATCTATCCAGGTAACATACATCTATATTTAACATAAAGAAAGGGATTGTGACATGTTCTCTCACTTACAGCAAGTAAATACCTTCACTACATCTGATGTACACAAGTACATACGACCACGCCCGCCAACACACAGTCCCCATAGACACTGGACACCATCCTGTGATGTTAGTATGTTTCTTACAAACTGTCCTGACTCTGTCAGATGGATGACTGTGTGTTGTGAGGTGTCTGCCACCAGGATGTCGCCTGTGCTGGTACTTGTGATACCACGAGGGTCCATCAGTGCTGTGTCTCCTGTAGGTCTGCAGATGAACACAACATCTCCCTCGGGGGTCAGACATAGGACACAGTCGGTTCCATTGTCAGACACCAGGATGTTTCCTGTCCTCGTGGTACAGAGAAAGTTGGGATACTTTAAGATGTCTCCACCATTGTGGCCAGAACAAACTGACTTCAGCACGTGTCCCGACATATCCAGGATATCAACACAGGGAGGGGAGTGGGAACTTGCTGCTAGTGTTGATGGTGTCAGAGAAGTTATACCCCGGTACTGTTTGCTGGTTGTGATGGTCGACAGCAGCACCAGGTCAGGGTTCACTTCAACCGTTACAATCTGACTGGTATCCCACACAGTGACAGCCACCTGGTTCTGTTTCAGCCTTGTTATACCCCATGATCTACCTTCCAGACCGAGCGTGCTGTGACCTGGCTGACTGTTCATGGTGTAGAAGGACTTGACACTCTTGTTCTTGTAGTCTGTAACTACCACTGTGTCTGTACCATTCACCTCTAACACCGTCACGTCAGTGGGGTCTCCTCCATCTGCATCTCCTGCTACTGTCACGTTAATGGTGTCCTGTAACACAGGAGCAGCCTTCAGGTCCAGCACATCGTCATACTGGACGTGTATCTCACCCAGAGGGAGATCTTCCAGTGCTCTACTCAGCTTGCCCGTGTCCTGTCTGAATGTTATCCTGTCTATTCTTCCCTTCTCCTTCACCTCTACGACTCCGACAGCCTCCACATCACCGGCCTCACATCCCTGATACATCTCATACACATCCATGTCACACTCAGATTGTAGAGCCTGGCCTATCAGTTCAGTCTGTTGTTGGTACATCTGTACTGACATCTCACCTGACTTTATGTCTACCTTCAGTTGTCCAATGTGTCTGTCAGACATCTCTTTCAGTTCAGACAGAAGTTTCCGTTCCTTGGCTTTGATCACCTCTATTGCTGTGAGACTTGCAGACTTGATGTTTGATTCTATTTTTAGGTGAAGCGCCAATTCTTCTTTGACCCTGGAGTTTTGTTTTCCAACATATGTTTTCATCTCATCGTGTTTCTTTAACAAATTCTCTTTATTCCTTTTCAGCTCGGTTTTCATTGCAGGAATCTCTGACTCAATTTCAACAACCATGTCACATTTCCTGTGATGGATAATGCAACATGTTTGACAAACAGCTGTTTTACAATCTTTACAAAGATATTTGATATTCTCGTCCTTGTGAACTTTACACATGACCTTTCTATTCGCCTTGACCCTTGTCTCTCCAGACAGGTCAACTACGTCATGGTGACGAGTAGAGGGGATTCGTTGGTGCATCCTTGTACATCGTTCACATAGTGCGTCGTCACAAACAGAACACCAAGATGTAGCTGGAGTTGTCTCCCCTTCCTCCTTGCAATAACTGCAGTAAGTTGTATCTGAAATAACCATTCATTCATGTGGTGATATTAACCTGGTGACATCACAATGTATTATAGGGCTAGATGTGGTGATATTAACCTGGTGACATCACAATGTATCATGGTGCTAGATGTGGTGATATTAACATGGTGACATCACAATGTATTATAGGGCTAGATGTGGTGATATTAACCTGGTGACATCACAATGTATCATGGTGCTAGATGTGGTGATATTAACAAGGTGACATCACAATGTATTCTAGGGCTAGATTTGGTGATATTAACATGGTGACATCACAATGTATTATATGGCTGAGGTGGTGATATTAACTTGGTGACATCACAATGTATTATAGGGCTAGATGTGGTGATATTAACCTGGTGACATCACAATGTATTATAGGGCTAGATGTGGTGGTATTAACCTGGTGACATCACAATGTATTATAGGGCTAGATGTGGTGATATTAACATGGTGACATCACAATGTATTATAGGGCTAGATGTGGTGATATTAACTTGGTTACATCCCAATGTATTATAGGGCTGGATGTGTCGCATCATGTTCCTACTTGACTTGAAAATGTATCGGAAACATCGGAACACGTCTCAGGTTGAAACGTCATGTAAATATGTTTGAAATTGGTTCACCGTAAACGTTGTTGTACGGATCATGAATAAGGTTTATGTATGTCGTTGGTCATGTCACCTGATATGCTGTGTCTTGCTCGTTGAACACATATCCACAATGAATGTTCACATTCCTCACAAACAGTTTTTTTACATACATCAAACTATACTAGTATATACATAGCAGGGGTCATACAATGCTCATAACATCACAAACATTTATACTGCTTAAATCAATTATTCTGTTACCTGCTTGCAAACAACACGTATATTGCTACAACCTACAACTATTCACCTTTAGATCCGGGGCCAAACGAGTCCAACAGTCCCTGGATGACGAAGCTTGGCTTGACGTCATCCGCCCACTCCTCCACTGGTCACTCGGGGACAGACACTTTCGTCATCTTCCTACAGAATGGACACAGGAGAGACTTGGCACTGAGGGCTTCCCGTTTGGTTTTGGTGTAGTTGACGACACATTTCCGACAGAAGGTGTGATAACATACAAGTGTACAGGGCTTGTCAAACACCTCTGTACATATGGTGCATGTCAGGAAGTGTTCTGTCAACTTCTGGGAGGTCGCCATCTCTCCTACCAAAAGTCAGCAGACACGACATAAACATTCTATCCACTATACAAACCACAACATTCATTACACAAACACCGACCATATTTGTAGTCCCGATTTACTGACAGGTCTAAAAGAACTATGTCTAGTAAATCCTGCTCTTGGAATTATGAACGAATGAAAACATATTCCAGATGTATGTAGATCCTATAATCAATGAGAGATAACATTGGTAGACGTGTTTCAACTGGGCCGTGTGTATTGTGTGTGTATGATGTGTGCGTGTGGGGGGTCGCTCTGTCTTGCTGGTCATAAATAAAACATAGAACAGCTATTCCATCACATATTTCATGTTAAACACAAACAATCCTGTATTTGAGAAGCGTTAGAAACTGGATATTGGATGAAGGGAAGTGACCGTCTGTTGGTTTGATTCTGTCCGTCTTGTAGATTCTTTCTTTGGCCTGATATTGATACTGGATACTTGTTCATACGTAAAACAGAACATACAATCCCTCAGATATTTCACGGTTTACACAAACACAAAATTCTCTCTTTTGCCTGACATACTGGAACCGTTGAGCCACAATACGAAAGTTTATGGGCAGTTGTGGTGCCTTTGTACTGATTTCTGAACTTAGTTAATTTTAGAATGCAAATGTTAATTACAGCACATTTCTTTGTTGTTGTTTTTGTTGGTTTCAAAGCTTATTCTTTTACGGAATTAATTCATAATTTAGTTCAGGTGTTTAGTTCACGAAACACTGCCATGAAAGTCAGGCGGTCGGTCCCCCGGGCTGTTGTATGAGTTGTGCTATTGTGCTATAGGAATATGTTATCTTTTGAGGTTGACAAGCATTACCACATGACATTGTATAGTATAACAGACTGAACATGTTTTGGTGTCACGGAGCACCATGAATCAGTGGCCTGTCTGTGAGCAGCTCGTCAATTGATCTTTGCAACTCGTCGTCACCAGCATTACAACATGCAGTTATGAACCGTGTGCAGCATGTCAATCACCTGACAGAGTTACATGGCGACACCCGCTCATTACCATATCGAAAGTAGGAGACGTTCAGTTCGGGTTTCTCTACATTAGATGTAAACTATTGTGGTCATGTAGAAGTATTTTACCATATTTTGTGCTGTAGCATTTATCTGTGATCAATTCAGTAACAACTTTAGCAAACACACATTATATACATACATGCACATACATCGGGACAGATCTCTGTATTGAAGTCACGAGGCCGATCAAGGAAGTAATGAAAGTACACACTCCATACACCATGCTCAGTCTAAAAATTGCAGTATATTAGGTGCCCGGATTTGAGAATGTGCCTGGAGATCACCTAACAGTTAGACGAACCATTGTATTGTTACCTGTAATCAGTAGGACAGGTGTGTAGCTAATAACTGGAATAGACACAGCCCCTGTGACAACACACTTACCCGAGACAGCCACGTGACCGGTCCAGAGGGAAACTGAGCACAGAAAGAGATATACCGTCCAGGGTTGACGTGCTTCATTCGTGATCAACTCGTCATTCAGGGACAGTTTGCATGTTACGGAAAGGGACGAGTGATGTCGAATGAGTGATTGTGTTTTGAAATCGTCTTGAATGCGCAGGGTCACGATTCAAGATTTATTGTCGCAGTCTTATAGCTGTGATAGTGTTAAGATTACAAACTTCAGGGTCCTGTGATATAGCTGGATGACTGCATAACTACAATCACTCACTCACTCACTCACCCAGGAATAAGTCACACCGTTATCTTTTAGTGGGTCTGCTACACTCTACACGTTCACAAAGCACATGTTGTCTGTTGGTTTGGACTTGAATATGGGAACTGTTGTACCTTGGAGAACATGAACATTCATGTTGACTCTTCTGCTCGTCAGACGGAAGACCCGGGTTTGATTCCCCACATGGACCAAATGTGTGAAACCCATTTAGGTGTCCCGCCGTGATACTGCTAAAAGCGGTGTTAACACACTCCCTAACTTTTCTGAGGACTGGACTGGACATTTGTTTGTACTGACGTTTAATATTAAAGAGTAATGCTGAAGTATACTAGACGAGATTTTGTTGTGCTGGTATCAAAGAAGGCGACCAGTGTCCGTCAGAGCTCCTGGACATGACATCCGCACGTTGACCCTCAATATTAATGAACGATGTCGGTACACTCTCAGACTTGTGTACAGATTGGTCAAGACTTGCTTGTGGTTAACACCGGTCACGAACCGTATGCTTCATTCCCATGGGATTCTGGTTATCAAGGATCAAGGAACATGTCATCCATGGGGACTATATGAATAGGCTCCGTCACTGGGAAGAATAATTGTTCTCATGCACCGGCTGCTTGGATGCTGCCATAATAGCAACCACTCGTTTATCCAGCCAACACTCGACTATATACAAACTACCGTCATCAACATGTGGCTGGGTCACAGTGACAACACGCAGAGTGAATGCAGGGTTGTAAGTTTACTTCCAAGTGGCTTGAGAATTCAGTGTACACGATTAACCCTGAAACAATTGTGGCAACAACATAATAACAATATAATAACAATGTTCAGCATGTTTAGAGAACATACATTTACATCTATTTGTAAATATTCAGTACATTAACAGTATTAACGACGATTCCACCAGTTGACAACATACAGCCGTGGGACGATCCCGACTATGACTATGTTTTGAATAGACCTACTGCAGACTGGTATGCAAGCCACTTGCCTATCACATGTTCATGGAAAACTGATTAGATACTGAATTAATTTTTCCTCGGTCACGGTAACATTTGCAGTCATGATAACGGCAATGATCAATGTGTTGAGCCTGTCTTCCGGTATACATCAGTATGGGAACACTGAAATAGTTACGTCCGAGGTTCATGATTTTATGAAGATTATTAAGTAACTTTCAGCTTTATTTAAAAAAATGCGTCTTTTGCTAAATTTGTCCGTAAAGGTTTAAGTATGGTGATGAAATACGAACCGTTACGGAAGTCAATAAGTTCGATCTCACTACTGTATACAGTACAGAAGTACCCTAAATTCGTTAGTATATGTTTTCGGAGAAGTCGGTGTATCGTCTCTGATATGGTGCATCAAACATCAGTTTTATTACATTTTCGATTTCCATTCACGTGTAAAGCTTCTGTTATTTGTCGTGATACTTAGTCATATAAATCTGCAAAATATACATAAAATGATAAAGACCTGTAACCTCCTTAACAGCTGATAATAGATCTAATAAATATAGATGAAAAAAAATAGAACTGACAAATCTTTATCTATCTCATTAACTGTCAGCTAGTGAAAAAGAAATTTCTTGTGTGTTCTAGTAATAATGCGTGTTCTAGTATTAATGTGTGTTCTAGTAATAATGCGTGTTCTAGTAATAATGCGTAAAGTGTGATCAGTCCCATCTGAACAAGTCCCAGGATTCAAACAGACGAATACAATAGACCTTAAGACATCAGGCACAACTGGTTTCAGTTCACACCCTAGACACATAACATGATTTCATTTTATATCTTAAAGTCAGTGAATTCACCAGTTCCTGTTTACTAGTTATAATGAAAGTGTCTGGCAGAATATCCAGGAAAAATAGGCTGTTGTGTCCTGCAAGGCTGTAGGAAGGAAATATGTTTCTTCTCTCGAGAATGGCCCTGAGTAGGAATTCCACCAACTCTGTGAATAAATTTTACATTGAATTAGAGACATTTTATAACACAATATCAGTATATTTTGTTTTGGCAACCATAATAATAATTTTCTTTGAAATCTGCACTAAAAAAGTAAGTACTTTTGTCTTAACAAATGCTGAGAGGGAAAATAGACATGATGATTAAAAACCAGTGTCTTTGCAAACAAGACTTAGTGTTGACTGATTAGTTACGGGAAAATATGCAGTAATAGGAACAGTGTGGGGTTTTTTCAAACTCGAGTGCACCAGTTCAACAAAAGATTATTGATTGTCTGAATTATATTTACCACGTGTTGGTTTCTTGTTCACTGGCTTGGTTTAGGCTTAGGGGTAGCTGATTGCCCAGGTGGGTACTCCGGTCTTGGTCACTTCTAGGGTATTTAGGTTGTTTTCATTGATGTGAAATGCTGCCATATACAGCCTAAAAATAGCATTAAAGTAGCATTTTTACATTTGCCAAAAACAAAACCCACAAAGAAATACATTATCTGAATGAACATATTTCCCTGATTTCCCATTTTTGAAAGTAGGTTAAAAGTTACCTATATATACAGCTGTCGTGATGTTTTTGCAAGGGGTCCATAGATACCTAAGTTTTAGGCCAGTGCAGAGCAGTCATTTTCATTTTATTTATTGTACATTGCCTTAAAGAGAGAAAGAGTGAGAGTCAACATTTTAATCATTCCCAAGCACACGCACACGCACACACACACGAACGCACACACACACAATTCACATACCATTTTAACATGGTAGGGGACCAGTCCCTGGTGGATAATTATCTGATATGACTTATTTTTTATTGTTTTAATAATTATGTGCTCTCTCTCACCACCGCACTCATATGTTGCAAGTTCTCATTTGTCCATGCCCACCTCCATCCCAATCCCTCCACACACACTCACACCACAAAACACCCAACATTCCGTCTCGGGAAATAGATGACTTGGCCCTACTGGATAACAGTAACAGTGGCTGTGAAAATATATCTCTGATCGAAAATAGTACACGAGCGCTAATTATGGCGTACTTTTCCATCAACTATTTCTTTATACAGCTAGCTAGTACTGGAGTTTTTATGTTGCTCCAAACAACTACATCTTAAAACTCACCTGCAACCAACGTCGCGTCCGGAATGCAACTCTCTCGGTCTCAGTCCCAAGTTGACATTTCGGCCTCTGTGTTTGTTTGGAATGTCGAAAGGAATGCCCGATATATAGCATCCTTATAAAGTTCAAGCTTTGCCTATTCGTATCCATATTTCGCCAGAGATTAGGTCTCTTTCATAGCACTTCTTTGAAAAGTGTAACGAACACAGATGACCGTGCGTGGAGGGGTTCACAAAATCCGCACGACGACAGTAAACATTCTCTGCCCTTCCTCTTGCCAAATAGAATTTCTCAGGAAATGTACATCCGTGTTGTTGACGCAGTTGGATAATCATCAAAACTCGAAGTGCAGTTGTCAGTTTCCAATACATAATCACAACAACGCTTCATTCAAAACATTGCGCTTCGTGTCACTTTCAACTCGATGGCGTATACACTACTGAAATGTCAACACACTGAGCGGACTCTCGGGTATGACGTCACACCCACAGACGGCAGACAGCTAAGCATAAAAATATGCATACGAGTGGGCGGGGCTAAAGTGGTTTTAGTTTTGGTGCATATTTATCTTTTACGACTAGTTTTCGTAAATGGATAGTGCAGATGTGGTATACATTCATGTTTGAATGGCATTATGTAATAAAAATGCATAGTGTTTAACCTTTTTAAAAATCCTTTAATGCAGCTTGAATGCATGAGCGCCGACAATATTATCTGTGCATTAAATATTACAGAAATATCATGATCACTGAGGGGTTGAAATTTACAAGATCAGGGGCGACAACTCATGACATGAGTTAAACAAAGCCATAAATGATATCGGCGGTAATCGCCACATAGCATACAATATTTACCTTAGAAGGTTAACATAAAGGAACGATGATTCTTTATGTTAGAATGATAAAAAAACATGTTATAAACAGTATTGTCCGGCACATTACATACCCTATGTATGGCACAGGGACCGTGTTTATGCCTGGGATGCCATAGCAGACGATGAAATAATTAGTGCTGGAAATAAGATAGGTTGTAATCAAAACCAAACCGATTCAGTGTAAACTCTCCATATAGACATAATGATAAGCATTTAAAGATATATTTGATACTCTATAAAACCTTCGATTGAGATACTTTGCCATTATTTGTTGTCGTGAAAACCAGGTGATAGGGAAAGGCGCGTACCTTGCTTCGTAAGCGGTGATGAGTGGGGAGATCAACTTTATAGGGTTCTGCGAAGTATTCGTGTCCATAGTCGTCAGTGTCTCGTCTTGATCTCCTAATTGTCATCTGTCAGATTTGGCGGGTAAGTTGATCACGTGCCTCGATCACACTCGGAAACATACGAGCAGCATCGGATGGCCAATCCAATGTTACCAGATGTACGAGTGCGGTAGCACCCATCACTACATTGTGTTTAGAGACGTTGGAGCGTTGGCCCCGAGAGCGGAAGGTCGCGGGTTCGATCCCCGACCGCGTCATACCAAAAGACGTTAAAATATGATACTTGTTGGTCCCTGCCTGGCGCTCGGCATGAATGGGTACAAGGACTGGTCGGCTCGGAGTCAGTATAATGTGTCTGAGTGGGGTATTCAAGCTTCACTGCGGCATGGTATCTCAGTGGACTAGCACTATAAAATCAGCTTGAGTCTGGGCTAGTACAAGCAGCCACACATACACTTACTCATGCATGCACGTCGTCATATGAACGACATATTCTCAAGCACAACATAAAACTCACCTCACCTCACCTCACATCACCACACCTTGTGCAAACTACGATCACAACAATGAGACAACATTCCTACACAAAGCATTCTCCACAATGCCTCGCTTTATAGTTATTTAATGTTATTTACGCTTAACAGGGAAGATATGATACACATTAAAATAGAAACTTTGCGTCTACCCGCGTGCCGTTTACAACACACGCTAACTACCATGACGGCATTAATTACCCTTATTTAATATATGTTGTGTGTTTAAGATTACACATTGAAGATAATTAGTTTACTAACCTGTCACACAAGTTTTGTCAGTCGTGTCTGGTGACAATATGACGCGTGAGGGTGCGAGGTGTTCAGACATAGAAAAAGCATGCAAGTTTGAATGGACCAATCGTAACGTATGGTCATGGTTGAGTAGACACTTTTGATTGTATTATTAAAACTAAGCGATTAAGTATATGAACTGTTTCAGCGCTGATATGAGCTGAAATCAAGAAATTTAACAAAAGTACATGAATTATGAACTATTTCCTTTCAGCTACTATAGTGAGCGGAAACAAAGCAATATATTATAATATATATTTACATTGCATATGTCAACGCCTGTTGGAAGCTGAAATAAAGATAGAGAATTAACGATTATTTACAATACTTAAAAGCTAACTAGCGCAAAGTGATCATAACACTCAGATATACAGAGTAGGTCGCTGCCACAAACACGTGGCTGGAAAACTGAGCTCTGCGTGAACCATCAAGCGGCCGTGTACACTGTATACTAGGGGCTATCAAAACGTTTTGAGCCTGAAATACTTCTGTTATGTGCATGATAAAAATAACTGTATGATATTGAAGAAAGGTTTAAATCATTCACATAAACGTAATGGTGACATGCACAACATGTCACGTGACATTTAATCACATGTACCCCTATCGAAACTGCAGAAATGGATAAGCTTGAGTACAGAGTATTCATACAGTTTTTGGTCCTCTAGGGCCACACGACGAAGCACATTGAAGAGCGATTGACAGTACCCCATGGGACTCAGTACTCGTACTGCTACTCGAACATCGCTCTTCAATGTCCCCCTCGTATGTCTGTTTACAACACACGGGAAGTTCGGGAACAGCTCAAGTGGTGATACACTATTCAGGCGTTCGCTGTTATTGCTCTATAAATATACCTCATCACGAGTTATCTCCCTTCCACCACACAATAATGCCAAGTCAATTCAGTAACAGGTGTTGATCGAGTTAAACAGAAGGCAGCTCAAACATCTGTGCTCTACATGCTCTACATCTGTAGTCTACCTGCTCTACATCTGTAGTCTACCTCCTCTACAATTATAGTCTACCTGCAGTACATATGTAGTCTACCTGTTCTACATCTTTAGTCTACCTCCTTTACATCTAAAATCTACCTGCTCAACATCTGTAGTCTACCTCCTTTACATCTAAAATCTACCTGCTCAACATCTGTAGTCTACCTGCTCTACATCTGTAGTCTGTAGTCTACCGCCTCTACATCTGTAGTCTTCCTGCTCTACATCTGTAGTCTACCGCCTCTACATCTGTAGTCTACCTGCTCTACATCTGTAGTCTACTTGCTCCAAATCTGTTGTCTACCTGCTCTACATCTGTGGTCAACCATCTCTACAGCTAAAGTCTACCTGCTCTACACCTGTAATCTACCTGTTCTACAAATGTAGTCTACCTGCTCTACATCTGTAGTCTACCTGCTCTACATTTGTATTTTACCTGCTCTACAAATGTAGTCTACCTGCTCTACATCTGTAGTCTACATCCTCTACACATGTAGTGTACCTGCTCCAAATCTGTTGTCTACCTGCTCTACATCTGTAGTCTACCTGCTCTACATCTGAAGTCTGTAGTCTACCTGCTCTACATTTGTAGTCTACCTGCCCTACATCTGTAGTCTACCTCCTCTACAATTATAGTCTACCTGCTCTACAGATGTAGTCTACCTGCTCTACATCTGTAGTCTACCTCCTCTACATCTGTAGTCTACCTGCTCCAAATCTGTTGTCTACCTGCTCTACATCTGTAGTCTACCTGCTCTACATCTGTAGTCTGTAGTCTACCTGCTCTACATCTGTAGTCTACCTGCTCTATATCTGTAGTCTACCTGCTCTACATGTTTGGTCTACCTGCTGTACACCTGTAGTCTACCTCCTCTACATATGTTTTCTACCTGCTCTATATCTGTATTCTACCTTCTCTACATTTATAGTCTACCTGTTCTACATCTGTGGTCTACCATGCTCTACATATGTAGTCTACCTGCTCTACATCTGTAGTCTACCTCCTTTACATCTAAAATCTACCTGCTCCACATCTATTGTCTACCTGTTCTACATCTGTGGTCTACCTGCTGTACACCTGTAGTCTACCTCCTCTACATATGTTTTCTACCTGCTCTACATCTGTATTCTACCTTCTCTACATCTGAAGTCTACATGCTCTACATCTATACTCTACCTGCTCTACAACTGAAGTCTACATGCTCTACATCTATACTCTACCTGCTCTACAACTGAAGTCTACCTGCTCTACATCTGTATTCTACCTGCTCTACATTTGTAGTCTACCTCCTCTACATCTGAAGTCTACATGCTCTACATTTGTTGTCTACCTGCTCTACATCTGAAGTCTACATGCTCTACATCTGTATTCTACCTGCTCTACATCTGAAGTCTACCTGCTCTACATCTGTAGTCTACCTCCTCTACATCTATAGTCTACCTGCTCTACAACTGAAGTCTACCTGCTCTACACCTGTAGTCTACCTGCTCTACATTTGTAGTCTACCTGCTCTACATCTGAAGTCTACATGCTCTACATCTATAGTCTACCTGCTCTACATCTGAAGTCTACATGCTCTACATCTGTAGTCTACCTGCTCTACATCTGTAGTCTACCTGCTCTACATCTATAGTCTACCTGCTCTACAACTGAAGTCAACCTGCTCTACACCTGTAGTCTACCTGCTCTACATTTGTAGTCTACCTGCTCTACATCTGTAGGCTACCTGCTCTACATCTGTAGGCTACCTGCTCTACATCTACATGGTCCTCTCAAACCATGGCGTGTCTTCCATGTCACTGTTTTTTATTTATTGTTAATTTATCACACGAATGTATCAAAAACAAAAAAAACATACATCGTATAACAGTCCTTACGGCCAATATATCGTGGTCATTAGGTTTTCTTGGCGTTTTACTTTCATTGTATGTCCTCTGTGACCTCCTTCCGTGATTCATGGCAGCTCGTGGATAACACCGCGAAGATCAGGGTTAGAATTGGTCTTCAGTATCCCATGCTTTTCGTAACAGGCGACTATAACGGGATCGGGTGGTGAGGTTCGCTGAATGGGTTGACACATGTCATCGTATCTCGATTGTATAGGTTGACGTTCATGCTGTTGTCTGGTCCAGATCCGATTATTTTGCAGAACGCCGCCAAATAGCTGGAATAAAACTCAACTCACTCACTCAATCAATAACTCGTGGATCAAAAATAGACGTGTCTACATTTCTCATCAAAGCGTAAATAGCTCAATGCAGAAATACGCATGAATTAAACTGTTGCAATATTTACTAATAATTGCAAGTTTCCAACAAGTAGATACAATTCCTGGATGATTAAGCACACATGTAGTAAATACATATATATGGTGAGACTACACTACCACTAGTCGTGAGGCTAATCTACCACTAGTCGTGAGGCTACACTGCCACTAGCCATAAGGCTGCACTACCACTAGTCGTGAGGCTACACTACCACTAGTCGTGAGGCTACACTACCACTAGTCGTGAGGCTACACTACCACTAGTCGTGAGGCTACACTACCACTAGTCGTGAGGCTACACTACCACTAGTCGTGAGGCTACACTACCACTAGTCGTGAGGCTACACTACCACTAGTCACTAGTGTGGGCTACACTACCACTAGTCGTGAGGCTACACTACCACTAGTCGTGAGGCTACACTACCACTAGTCGTGAGGCTACACTACCACTAGTCGTGAGGCTACACTACCACTAGTCGTGAGGCTACACTACCACTAGTCGTGAGGCTACACTACCACTAGTCGTGAGGCTACACTACCACTAGTCGTGAGGCTACACTACCACTAGTCGTGAGGCTACACTACCACTAGTCGTGAGGCTACACTACCACTAGTCGTGAGGCTACACTACAACTAGTCGTAAGGATACACTACCA